GTTCCACATTAGGCCTCTAGGCTCCAAATTAGGCCTTGTCTTCAAGATCCTAATCTCTCTGTGATTCTTTGCCTTAGGAAATGGGGCACTGGTGGCCCTTTCTATGCTAGACACTGGACTATAAGCCTTATACCTACAGTGAAATGTATGTGTCGATACTAGTCTAGTCTATCATTGATTACTGTAAAAATACATAAATCTATTATAAAAAGTTAAAATTTGTCAAAAATTATACCCTTAAACACAGGTCATATATGGTACCACTTGCAATGAAGAGAAATATAAGCAAACATAAAGATGCAGTGTTAAGCCTCTAATCTCAGCACTTTGAGAGGCTGAGTCAGGAGGATCCCTTGAGGCTAGGAGTTCAAGATCAGCCTGGACAACTTAGTGAGACCATCTCTATGAAAAACTTTTTAAAAAATTAAAACATTTAAAAAATGATGTAATATTAAGTCATAACTACATAGAATTAACTACAGCCCACTGTACTACTGCAACCATTTTGTAGCCACCTCCTGTTGCTGTTGCAGTGGGCTCAGGTGCTGCAGGTGTCTGCGTAAAAGGCCTTGTCGGGCTCGGCTTGGTGGCTCACGCCTGTAATCCCAGCACTTTGGGAGGCCGAGGCGGGAGGATCACCTGAGGTCAGGAGTTCGAGACCAGCCTGACCAACATGGAGAAACCCTGTCTCTACTAAAAATGCAAAATTAGCTGGGCATGGTGACACATGCCTATAATCCCAGCTACTCGGGAGGCTGAGGTAGGAGAATCACTTGAACACGGGAGGCAGAGGTTGTGGTGAGCCGAGATCGCACCATTGCACTCCAGTCTGAGCAACAAGAGTGAAACTCCGTCTCAAGTTCAAAAAAAAAATAAAAAAGGCCTTGTGACACTAAGCATCTCCTCGTGAGCAGTTCACCTCTGCAGTGAATTGCATGTTACCGTAAAAAGTGATCTCTCTCAGTTCTGACATATTTTTCATCATGTTTAGTGCAATACTGTAAACCTTGAATAACACCACAGGACCCATACAGAGTGCCATTAGAGATACTGGAAGTGCTCCCAAGAAGCAAAGAAAAGTCATGACATTACGAGAAAAAATTAATTTGCTTCATATGTACCATAGTTTGAGGTCTGCAGCTGTGGGTGCCTGCCGTTTCAGACAGATAACGCCTCTTTATGAACAGACCGTGTAAACATATGGTCTTGATAAATACAGTACAGCACTGTAAATGTATTTTCTCTTCTTTATGATTTTCTTAACATTAAGAACTTCTATGTAGCTTGCTTTACTGTAAGAATATAAGAAGTGTTATCTAGCTTACTTTCTTGTAAGAATACCGTATATAATATATATAGCACACAAAATATGTGTCAATTGACTTTATGTTCTTGGTAAGACTTTTGGTCGGTATTAGACTATTAGTAACGTTTCTGGGGGAGTCAGAAGTTATATGTGGGTTTTTGACTGTGCAGGGGATTGATGCCCCTAATCCCTGCATTGTTCAAGGTTGTCAACTGTAACTAAAAAATAATTTTTTAAAATGCATATCGATTTTAAAGCCTGGTTGCCCTAGTAGTGCTGACTCCAGCCAACCACCTTCAGCCTCAGAGCTGTTAAAGTGAGAGTTGGGGAGCCTTCTCCGTGGCCTGCTTGGGTGTGTGCACATGCATGCTGAGAGGCCAGGCCCACAAGGCTTGATGCTGCTGTCTGGTTTTGGAAAGACCTGCCTCTAACTACCCGGCTTCTGAACCTGGCGGGGGCCCAAGAGTCACAGCGGCTGATCTCTGGAGTCGAGCTTGCAGTGTGGGGCAAGCTCCAATATCCTAAGACTCTGTGTCCTGATGTTGGTTGTTATAAGAAAAGTGGAAACATACCTGGTAGGGAATCAGAATCCCAAATTCTCACCAGGTGCAGTGGCTCATACCTTTAATCCCAGCACGTTGGGAGGCCAACATGGTGAAACCCCATCTCTACTAAAAGTACAAAAATTAGCTGGGCATGGGGGCACATGCCTGTAATCCAGCTACTTGGGAGGCTGAGGCAGGAGAATCACTTGAACCCAGGAGGTGGAGGTTGCAGTGAGCTGAGATCGCACCACTGCACTCCAGCCTGGGCGACAGAGTGAGACTCTGTCTCAAGAAAAAAGAAAAAAGAATCCCAAATTCTCAACCTGCAGCTAACAGTGCTCACAGCTATCCCATCAGGACCCCGCAGGAGATCAAGCACAAAGGGTAAAATGAGGCAAAAAAAAAAAAAAAAGAACACCTTATTCCTTAGCAGGATCTTTGGACTCCAGACCCCATTGTGGTCTCTTGTTGAGCCAGACTGCATCACAGGTGAGCACTTTCACCTGAACATGCAATAAGTCTCCACTGCCTTCTTGTCCCCAGGTGTCTCCTGGAGTCAGTATCACAATTCCGACATCCTGGACCCACTTCAAGCAGACAGGACACAAGGAAGAAACGGGCTATACTAAGAGGCAGTGAATCAAAAGAAAATGAGTTCCTCTCACTCAGTAGAATTTTATATCTTCCCTCTTCTTAAAAAAAAGTTCTAATTTGACCCCCCAAAGCCCTTGGCCTTGCTGCTGAACAGTGGTGGTAATTCAGTAGTTCTCCTTCGTGTTTGGATCGAGGGGAATCATTGCCTTCTTCACAGATGTCAGAAGCACCCTGACGCTGTGCTTCCACCCCTTTGGTCCATGGCCACTGGGTCAGGTCCATTTCCTTCCATGACCCTCACTACTCCATCAGATACACGCAGACCAGCGTCATCCTCCCACATCTGATCCCTAGGCGAGTGGCTGGTGAACTTGGCAAGCCCGTGAACCACAGGAAAGGACCTGAAAACCCATCTTGTCTAGCCCGATGCTGCAAGCTCAACTCTAGCCACCCCCTCAGTGTAGAGACTGCGGATCACGACCCAGCTCTAGCCTCCCCAGCGGGGTCACCTAGGGCAGGCCCTTTTCCTCATCTGCTCACTGGGTGCTCCCTTCCCCAACCTCCCAAAGCTGTTGTGAGCATTTATATAAGTCATCGAGCTGAGGCTGCTGAACTCTGAGCTAAACTACTCGAAGCGATTGTTTTGCTAATTAGCATGCACTATTATTTGCATTAAAATGACTAATTAGAAGGAAATTTTTAACAAAAGAGTCAACCAGCTGTTGTTTATGGTTTTAGAAAGTGAATTTTCTCCAAGGGAGGGATATGCCTGTCTAGTGTCAGGAAGTAGTTCCCTTGATTTCTCCCCAAGGGTCCCTGGTGAAGATCTGTGCCTTGCAGACCC